TTGTCCCACATAGGAAACTTAGAAGAGTTTCAAAGTATTTATAAGCTCTAAGTTGGAGACCTTGGGTTGGGCCCCAAGGGGTACCCAAGTTTTGTAGGAGAAGGAGTTATGGACAAACCCAAAACCATCACCACACGCGCGCGCCGCCGCCGCCGTCCGTCCGGCCGGGTCGGTGTGGGTTTGGGTCTTACCAGTCCTTTATTTTTTGCACTGGAAATGCTGAAAATAAATGCTTCGAAATATAAATCTATGTTAAACTACTCCTAAGATAAGTAAAATGACAAGAAATATTGAAATCAATTGTCTTTGATTTAAGTTCTGGATTCTTCCCCTTTTACAATGTAGCCATTAATGGCTATTTATAGAAGAAAAAATACAGCAATAACTACTTAGTAACTACCCATTTCTTCCATCTTCAAATTACATCCTCAAAAATACTCGGCAAAGCTTCGAAGGTTCACAACCACCATTATTATTTCTTCGAAACTGTTGTTGATGCAAGATAGAGTGCTTCGAAGTTTACAAAATTATGGCAAAACGGCTTTCGAAGCAATTTATGGCAAAACGGCTTTCGAAGCTGTTTTTGGCCAACATTGTGGTTATTCAAAACTTATATGTTCTGGTTCACACATAATTAATGAAAATATTAATTTTGTGCTTCGAACCAATTATTAATTCTTCGAAGACACCAAAACTGTTGTTCTTCGAGCCAACTTATGATGCCAAAAACAGGCATTATTCGACAACTAATTAATTGTCATTTTACATATATTTGAAGAGATGTACACATTTCGAAAGTTTTCAAAGTTTTATACAGTTTCGAAGGTGAAGTAATCAACCTTCGAAACAACTCTTGATGTTTCGAATGTATCTTCAAAGCTTTATACAGCTTCGAATATGAAGTAATCAACATTCGAAACAACTCTTGATGCTTCGAATGTATCTTCGATGCTTTGATTGTGTACATACAAACAATTGGCCATCAATTTGAGAAGATAAGCCATTCTCAGCCATTTATTTAAATGCACAGGCTTTTTCTAGCCAAGTTCATGCATTTTAAATGGTCATCCCTTGTTCTTAGTGCTTAGAACTCATAAGAACAATTTGTTAATTTTATTAGCCACATCATCAAAATTATATTTTGATGTGAACCACAAATCCAAAAAGGATTTTGAACACCAAAAGTCATGGTATAGTGTGACCATGAAAATTTATACTTTTTGACATTTTGAAAAATATCAAAAATTTTGAATTCATGAACAGTGGCTTGTTCATTATTCTTGACCATGTTTGGTTTAAAAACATGACTTTCGCCAAATTGATTTTCATAATTCTTTGGAAAAGTAGGTTGTTTTTCCATGTTAGCAATTAATGGCTTATGAAAATCACCCACAGATATGTTATTTTCATGATTTGACTCTCTAAAATTTGGTTTTGGGACCCCTCGAGTTATACATGGAACATCATTTTTAGCCAAATTTGGCTCAAGAACATGCTCTTTCGTTGTGTTAATTTCATAATTTGGCTCTTTTAAAACGAACTCTTGAACCCCCCGAGCCATTGATGAAATCAACTCTTTACTTTTTTGTGTTATTAAATTCAAGCCAATTATCAAGCGATTGTGTTATTAAATTCAAGCCAATTATCAAGCGATTGTGTTATTAAATTCAAGCCAATTATCAAGCGATTGTGTTATTAAATTCAAGCCAATTATCAAGCGATTGTGTTATTAAATTCAAGCCAATTATCAAGCGATTGTGTTATTAAATTCAAGCCAATTATCAAGCGATTGTGTTATTAAATTCAAGCCAATTATCAAGCGATTGTGTTATTAAATTCAAGCCAATTATCAAGCGATTGTGTTATTAAATTCAAGCCAATTATCAAGCGATTGTGTTATTAAATTCAAGCCAATTATCAAGCGATTGTGTTATTAAATTCAAGCCAATTATCAAGCGATTGTGTTATTAAATTCAAGCCAATTATCAAGCGATTGTGTTATTAAATTCAAGCCAATTATCAAGCGATTGTGTTGACGGTTCTTTTGCCTCAACGAAGAGGACTTCAAGATTGCCAAGTGTAGGGAAAAGAAAAATTAAAAGAAGAATGAGGGACGGAGAAAGATGATTGAGTGAACAATCAAAGTAATAATTACTTACCTCTACTCCTATGCTTCGAAAAGAAAGTACATAAAATGCTTCGAAATGGAAATACTGAAAATAAATGCTTCGAAATATAAATCTATGTTAAACTACTCCTAAGATAAGGAAAATGACAAGAAATATTGAAATCAATTGTCTTTGATTTAAGTTCTGGATTCTTTACAATGTAGCCATTAATGGCTATTTATAGAAGAAAAAATACAGTAATAACTACTTAGTAACTACTCATTTCTTCCATCTTCATTCTTATCTTACCATGTTTCCTTCCACTCATCCACTTTGTCCTCCCACTCATCCACTTTGTCCTTCATATTCTCCATTATCTCTATAACTTCTTTTAACTTCCAAATGAATAAGAGGATGCCACGTGTCCTGCAATTATATAAATAATAAATAATAATAAAAATTGCAGATTTATGGTGCTAACAAATCTGCAGTGCAGGCCCCGTGCCACTAGCTCAGTAGCAGACTGGGTTCCACCATCTCCAGGAGCATTCAAGCTGAATTGTGATACGAATTATAATCCATCTACTGGGACAACGGCTCTGGCAGTTGTTCTTAGAGACTCGAGAGGAAAATTAATGGATGGTATAGTCTCTTCAACCCAAGCCTCTTCAGCTCAGCAGAGTGAAGCCTGAACTGTCTGCCTTGCGTTTGTTTTCTCCCAAACACTTGGACTCTCTAACGTTCTAGTGGAAAGTGACAACAAAGTGGTGATTGAACTCTCAGAGCTCGTTCCTTTATGGAATTGTATTGCCATCATTCATGACATTCGTGCGGTGAGTTCCTGTTCTGTTATATCCTTCTCCTGGGCAGCTAGAAGTGCAAATAGTGTTGCCCATTGGCCAGCATCTACTTTTTCAAAAGATGTTTCGCCTTTGAATTGGATCTGTTATAGCCCACCTGCTCTTTTAGAGCTGTTGTCTTCAGATTCTTCTTTGTAGCCTCAGACATTTACGAGTTCAAAAAAAAAAAAAAATTATGTCAAATTAATTATTAAATATTCTGCACAATACTTACATAGATATGGAATCCATGTCAGTTTTATAAGAAAAATGTTTGAGATTCTCAGGCCCAGCCTTGAGATTTCTGGAACCCAAAGTCGATAATCAACTACTAAATTTTTAGGGGCCTTCACATTTTTTTTATTGAATGAAAAAAAAAATTAAGGTAAAGGACAAAAGATTTGTATTAAAATCACAAAAAATATTTAGTATTATATTATAACAACTAATAAGTATCACTTGATCCTCGCTCTTCTTGCATTTTTAGAAGCAAATAAATCAATCATACTTGTATAATCTAGTTTTTTTGCAAAATCATTTTCAATGGATAACAATGCTAATCTATTCAATCTTTCTTGTGACATGGTTGATCGAAAGTAATTTTTGATGATTTTCAACTTTGAAAAGCTTCTTTCCCCCGATGCAACTGTAGCTGGAATAGTCAAAAGAATCCTATAAGCAACACATGAATTTGGGAAACAATTTGCCATCAACTGCAGATGATTGAGCACTTCAATTGGTTTATTAACTTCTTTTGGCAATCTCTCTTTCAAGACTTTTAGCTCTATCAATAAATCTCTTCCATCAATATCAGAAATCTCACTATGTCTTAAAAATTCTTCAAGGTTCACATACCCCGCCTTCAACGATTCATTGCTGCACTTTTTCAAGTCAAACAAAAAGTCAAAGTTTGCCTCATATACTTTGCACTGTTCAAACCTATTTTTGAGTGAACAAAGGGCTTGATCAACAAAATAAAAGAAGTAACCAACTCTAAATGATTCTTCAGCCGACTAGGTCACCTCTTCGCTAACATTCTCATCAAATTGTTTCTTTCTAGAAATGATGCGCTTTTTAACAAATGTAGGTTCAATTCCCAATTCACTTGCCATTTCTTTAGCTTCAACCATAGCCTCCGTGAAACCAACTTCTCTATACATTGCAACATACTTAACAAGCCCATCTAGCTGCTTTACAGCAACTGCTATATCCATATCTTCACTTTGAAGAAGCTTGCTAACAGAGTTCACATGAAACAACAAATTGTACCAAATTACAATGCTAAACAAGAACTCAAAAGTCTCAAGTTCATGAGTTACCAGGGATTTAGCTTCACTTTTTGCAATCGAATCTGTGATAGGATTGTTGTACAAGTCAACTAAAGCATCTCTTTAAACGTAGCCTTCGTCGCTCTCTTTGATTTGGTGTAAAAAACCCTCTCAAATTCTTGAAGATTTTTTCTAAATCTTAGAGAGAAGTTTGGATTTGGGTGGGTTTGTAGAGAGAAAGAAGAGAAAATATGAGTATAAAGAGAGAGAGAGAGAAGTGAAAAAGTGGGTCAAACACATTTTTTGCATCAGTTTTGAGGAAAATAGCACAAGATTCGAGACAGACGCGTAGAAATCTGCACGAGCGATTTGAATTCTGCACGAGCGGAATCCCAATCTACACGAGTGGATTCTAATGCCTCCACGGGCGGATTGCTCCAGAGAAATCCCAGAATTTTCACAAAAAATCCACTCAAGCGAAACCCAAATTCAAAGAAGTGGTTTTGCCCAGAAATTTCCCAGTACACTATGTGTGATTCCGTCCGAGCGGTTGCCTAATCCGCATGAACGGTCTTGCCTAAAAAATCTAGGATTTGATTTCACATCCCAAAACAAGTTCCAATGCTCAAAACTCAAAATTTTTAACCCGAAGAAGTTAAGAAAGGTTAATAAGAGTAGAAAAAAATCTCAATAACCCAAAACAATAAACAAAATGCCAAAAGTAATGCGCACTGTCTTACTATGCAATACTGGTCAAGTCCAAGACTCGGGACATCACATTAAGCCCGGTTACAAATAAATGATTTACAAACCCATACACATAAGTCCTTGACTTGTCAAAAATATAACGAATAAACAAAAGAGCCTTACGCTCACAAAACATTCACTCACTTTCACTAATGCGAAAATACCACATCATTTCCTGCACAAACCCACTAAAGGTGAGCACAAAGCCCAGTACAAAGATCTTAGAAAAATATATATGTTTTAAACAATCTTATAAATATGCATGCAATGGCATGTCATGCTCCAAAAATCATGAGTTTTTATCTCTTTGAAATCTCATGCCAATGCTCAATTTCGAAAACTTATATATATATATATATATATGTGTGTGTGTGTGTGTGTGTGTGTGTGTGTGTGTAATAAAATTATAATATGAGTAGTGAATATGACTCTAGTAATTCCTAGGCTGGTGTCTGCAAGTAGATCCCTCAAAACTCTACCAAACCCACTTTGCCGGCTCCTAACCAGAAGGCGCGTAGTACTACCCTACGCATATTTTCAATCTTTCACCATAAACACTCAGGCCAACTTAATTTTCAGTCTACACTCCTATTTGGACTTACCACTGTATTTACTCCAAAACAATTCAAGTTTCAAATGCCATCTCAAAGCAATGACTCTATCTTTCCAAAATCGTTACTTTAATAAGACATTATTAAAAAACCATGTAATGAATGAAATGGAAATGTAATTACATATACACATTCTCAATAAGAAATTCCCAAATTTTCAACATTTCTCAATATTAATACAATGTTCAGCATTTCTCAAATTTATCTTAATCATCGATATTTCTCGAATATCATTCAACAATATATGTATGTGACACATGACAATCTTCCATATTCATAATTAATATCAAATGTTCATAATCCAAACATGTATCAATCATGTTATCCATGACACTTTCTCAACCACAAAAACTCATCCATCTCAAGGATATCTCAACAGCATATCAACATGTGAAAGTTCATCATTTTTCTCAATGAAAACCCAACATTTGCTTTAGTTTTTCCCAAAATCCACTTTTCCTCAAATTCCAAAATCTAGGATTTTTCTCAAAAACAAATTTCTCTCATTTTCAAATGATATTTTCCTTAACAAGCTTCCAAGATTCTCATAAGTTCATGAAACAAGTCAATTTGGACAAAAACATGAGCGATGTCACATTTTCAAGTATTTCCAAAACCCAACAATACAAAACTCTACTCATTATACCATAGATTTGTCAAAGAATAGCTAGACATATAACTTAAAAAACTCCTTACCTCAAGTTTGGAGAGGAAAGATGTGAAAAATCCCTAAAATCAACGGTGTCGAAATTCTATATCCACCGCACAAGTTGTAGCCCTTAATGAAGCACTAGGGTCAAAATCCTAATGGGTTTGGAGAAATCAAGAAGTAAATGAGGTTTGGTGAGAGTGAATGAAGAGACAAGTGTGTTTTAGAGAGATAGAGAAGTGAAAAGAATGAGATAGAGAAGTGAAAAGAATGAGATAGATTTAGACTAAGGGAAGGAAAAGAGAAAAATTTTAGACATAAAACACTCCCGCACTTGCGCGCCTTTTGCCGCACGTGTGACGTGCTCTCTTCGCACATGCGGGCCCCATGGCTGCACATGTGGTTTCCAACACAAAGGAGAGAGAGAGAGAGAAGTGAAAAAGTGGGTCAAACACATTTTTTGCATCAGTTTTGAGGAAAATAGCACAAGATTCGAGACAGACGCGTAGAAATTTGCACGAGCGGAATCCCAATCTACACGAGTGGATTCTAATGCCTCCACGGGCGGATTGCTCCAGAGAAATCCCAGAATTTTCACAAAAAATCCACTCAAGCGAAACCCAAATTCACAGAAGTGGTTTTGCCCAGAAATTTCCCAGTACACTATGTGTGATTCCATCCGAGCGGTTGCCTAATCCGCATGAACGGTCTTGCCTAAAAAATCTAGGATTTGATTTCACATCCCAAAACAACTTCCAATGCTCAAAACTCAAAATTTTTAACCCGAAGAAGTTAAGAAAGGTTAAGTAAGAGTAGAAAAAAATCTCAATAACCCAAAACAATAAACAAAATGCCAAAAGTAATGTGCACTGTCTTACTATGCAATACCGGTCAAATCCAAGACTCGGGACATCACATTAAGCCCGGTTACAAATAAATGATTTACAAACCCATACACATAAGTCCTTGGCTTGTCAAAAATATAACGAAAAAACAAAAGAGCCTTACGCTCACAAAACATTCACTCACTTTCACTAATGCGAAAATACCACATCATTTCCTGCACAAACCCACTAAAGGTGACCACAAAGCCCAGTACAAAGATCTTAGAAAAATATATATGTTTTAAACAATCTTATAAATATGCATGCAATGGCATGTCATGCTCCAAAAATCATGAGTTTTTATCTCTTTGAAATCTCATGCCAATGCTCAATTTCGAAAACTTATATATATATATATATATATATATATCTGTGTGTGTGTGTAATAAAATTATAATATGTATAGAGGTCCCGGGTTTACCCTTGTTGTACAGTGATCCGGACGTGTGTCCGTGGATGTTGGTAGTCGTTTATTTTCTAGTTTGCATCCTCTTCCTTTGTATATTGAGTTATAAGATGCGTTGGGCAGGTTTGTTTCAGGTTGGTTGCGTTTGGGAGCCTAGTGTTGCTGCCCAGATTTTTGGTCCTTCGCTCGAGCGAGGAGTTTGTCGCTCGAGCGAGAGTAGTGTTGCCCCGGTTCTGGACCTGAGAGTTGTAGTTTCTGGCTCGAGCGAGCTTTTCGTGGCTCGAGCGGTCTGGGTTTTTCTTCGCTCGATCGAGAACTTCTTGGCTCGAGCGAGAGTTTTCTGTGTCTGGTCGCTCGAGCGACCAATCCTTCGCTCGAGCGAGAGTGTTTTATATCAGCGGACAGCAGAGTTGACAATTTTGAACCATAGGGTTGTGTTGAGGGCACCTGGGAGGACACTAATTTGTGGTGGCCGGCCATTAATCTCACTTGACCTTTTTGAACCTTGGCCGGCCGGCCATAGGGAGTGGCCGGCCGGCCACCTGCAGCTCCAAAAACTAGCCGGCCATTATCCTTGCAATGTGTACGTTGCAGCTATACACTTTTTTTCTCCCAAAAAACCTGTATCCGGGAGGACAACTTTTGGGGGAAAACTTGGCTTGTTTTCCCCCCATTTCTTTCCCTCCTTTTCCCCCCTCTTTGGTCCATATACTTGGCTGGCCAGCTCTGTCCAAAGGGTTAGAAAATTTCCCTTCAAGCCCTTTGCATTATACCTCTCTCCCTCTCCATCTCCAAGCTTCCATTCTTCAAACCCTACACCATTTTACACTACACCACCAAGCCTTACCCTTCCATCCTCCACTCCAGCAGTTTGAGGGTGTTCTCCAGAGCTTAAAGGTGCTGCAAATTCAAGCCAAGAGTTTCTAAAGACTTGTTTTCAAGGGTAAGTTCTATTTCCCCTCTTTTGAGCTTATTTTTGTATCATTTCTTAGCCATACATGCTTACTATTTTGAGCTCCGGCCCTAACTGAAAGTGGCATTTTTTTGAGCTCCTTTTTACTTTTTCTTAAGGGCCTTTCACTGTTTAAGGCCCTTTGATGCACTTGCTTCATTATCCTTCTTAAATGCCATTATCTTGCATAGTATTTTTAGCCTATGTGTAATCTGTTTTGGAGCATGATGTAAACTGTAGATAGGCTTATTTTGAGCCCTTCTTCAACATTGAAGAAGGGCTTATCACTGTTTGGGACCTCCATGTGCCACTTGTCATTATACCCCTCTTTGGTCCCCATTTTTGCATGATTTATTAGCCTATTGTGTCTCTGTTTTTGGAGGTCTCTTTTCAGAACTGAAAACAGTCTTATTTTGGCCCATTCTTCATGTTTCATTAAGGGTCTTTCATGGTTTGAGGCATCTTTTATACACTTCATGTTATATCTCTCTTTTGGGCCTCATTTTGCATAGCATTTTGGACATGTTTTCATACTGTTTTGGGTCCGGTCATCAACTGTAAAATGCATTATTTTTTGTCCCTCTTCAACATTGTTGAAGGGCCCCTTTGTGTTTAAGGCCAGCAACCACTGCTTGCTTCTTTGGCCATCTTTTAGCCCATTTCTTGCATGAGAGTTTATCCATACCTGTGCTGGTTTTTGTGGTTTTCCATTAACTGTAAAAGATCATATTTTGGGTCCCTCTTCAACTTTGTTGAAGGGCCCTAATCTTTTTGGGGTCAGCAGCTGTGAGTTGTTTCATTATCTCACATTTAGGGCCATTTTTGTATGCTATTTTTGCCCTATTTGTGTTTTCTGTTTGGCCATGCTTTGAACTGTAAAAATGGTTATCTAGGGGCTGCCTTGCTTCTGTATTTTCATCTCATGTTCAAATTATGCATTCATTGCATAGCTATAGGCCATTTCATGCGCCAAAATTCATGTTTCCGGAGAAATTCCATGCATTGGGTATCATTTCGCCTTGTTTCGGGGCTGTTTTCCCCCTCATTTTGCTACTAATTTTTGCATGTTTGCATATCATATTCCATGTCTTTGCCATGTCTCATTAGAGTGGCATTTCGGTGCCTGAGGGTCGGTCCTCGGTTTGCGTGCACGCGTGCACGCATTTCGAGTTGTCTTGTTTTCATCTGATGGCCTCCTATGTGAGTGTGGCTGAGGCTCTCTCATGTTGGTGTAAGCCCATTATTGCATTGCGTATGCCATTTCATCCATAGCATTGTGCATGCTCGGTTGTGTATTACCTCGTGCAGCGTGTATGCCATTCCATAACATTGTGTATGTTAGGATTGTATCTTAGTTGCATTTCATGCATGTCATGCATATTGCATCATGCTCGGGATAGGAGTTAGCCCGGGCACGGGAAACGAGGTGCATTTCGTACTCCAAGTGACGGAACGTGCCTCAATTTTCCAGTCACCGACACTCCGGATTGTCCATGATGGAGTTAGGTTTTAGTTGTGTTTTCACGTGCATTCATCCTATATTGAATTGTGCAATTCGACCCCTCGGCCATCATGCATCGAGATGCGTGATTGGTGGCACGAGGATCGAGGCATGCATACATTTGTGAAAATACATTGCTATGCCCCTTTCCTGCTCTCTGTTGCAGCAAATCAAGAATCAGCAGTCTTCCGGAGCTTGGCGCGCTTTCCAAGAATAATTGCAAAACAGAGGCTAATTGGGGCATCCCAGTGGATTTCCGCGCAAGGCAGCCCAAACATACATCATTCATCAGAGTCAAGGCAGTCCCTGGCTTGCATGCCAGTTTATTTATTTTCTTAGTTAATTTGTTAATTAATTAAGAATTTGTACATATTTGGACTGTAACATTTACTTGGACTGTACTATTCTTTTATTCGGGACTGTATATTTATTTGGACCCTCTGCGCGAGGGCACAACTGTAATAAGTGTACGTGTGTGTGTTGTATGTCTTCCAACCCCACGTCTTTCTCCCTTTTATTTATCCGCTTATGATGGTTAGATTAGGGCATATTTCAATTAGCATACAGTATGATGGCATGTTTGCATGCACAGGCTCGGCGCATCATACTAACTGCATGTACTTCAATTCCAAAATTGAATAACATGCTAGCTAGCATTTTATGCCATGTTTAGAATAGCCGAGCCTATTTTAGTTGCATTTTGCATGTGTTGCATTAGCATTTCTGTATATTAGGATCAGCATGGATTCTAATTAGGCTTATTTTTTGGCTTGGAGTACTCGTGAGTTTTATGCTTTAGCATCCTTGCATGCGTTGTGAGTGACTGCAGAATAGCTGCTTACCATGAGGCTAATTGCTTATGTAATATAACTGCCTGAATGCCTGTGGGTGAAGTTGGTTATTTGGATTGGAATTAATCATCAACTGTTTGTTTTAAGCCCACTGATAGTGGCAAAACCATCTTTTCTAACCCACCGAGGGTGCCAAATCTGCATTTCAAGCTACTTGCGTAGAGCAAACCATCTTTCAAAAACAAACTGAAAGTTCGTTCCAATTCAGGCGACCAGTCTATACTTGTATGCTGTGCGCATCACATAGTAAATCTAGCTAATAACCGGAAAGAACGCATAATGTCTTCAAAAAATAGATATCATGGTTAGTAGAGGCCGATTTTGATCGGCGAACGGGTGCTCACGAAGTGACCTTCCCCAATCGTACCCAAGTTCCCGAGCCGAGGCAACTTTGTGATGACGGACACATGGCCTTGGCAAACGGTCAGGGTTCCTAAATTTCCAACCAAATAAAAATATTTAGGTGGCGACTCTGTATCTGGCAAAGCAGTCCATGTTTGGCACTTCTTTTCTAAAAATCTGTTTTTCTCAAAACGATTTGCCGGATTT